CCCCCTCCCCTTCCCCCACCTCTCCATTATCACCGTCAGAAGACGACGACGCGCTGCCCACGCTCTTCACCCTCACCTCCCCGCGCCAAGAAATGAGCGTCACATCCGGCTGGCCCGTCCCGCGCCGCGCGCTCGTGCTCGCCGTGCCGCCGCGCGAGCGCGAAAAGGACGTGCCGCTCGTGCTCGTGCTCGACCCCGACACGTGCACGGTCCACCTGTGCGTCTACACGCCCGCGCCGTCCCAGTCCCCTACCACGCGCGCGTCCACATCGAGCGTGCCGAGTAGACGCAAGACCACCGCGCGCCGCTCGAGCCTGGGCGGCGCGGACCGTCGGCCCTCCCCATCCGCCTCCCATCCGAATCAACCGACGAGCATACTCGCATCACCCACGCCCACGCCATCGATACCCCCGCCGCTCGCGTCGCTCCCGCACATGCCGCCCTCCCTCGCGCCCAGCCAAACGCTCGCGTCGCTCGCGGCTCTACCAACATCCGGCCCCGCAGCGTCGAACGGGGGCCATTTCCCGCCCGCCTTCCCGATTAAAGGTCACGCGCGGAACGAAAGCAACGGTCTCAGCTCTGGTGTACGAGGTCTGGCTCTCGACTCCCAGGGCGTCGGCGGAGTAGGAGTAGACGTATTCGGTCCTATCCCCACCAACGCGACCGCGAATCCCAATGCGCTATTGGGCATCGACGTAGGCATTGATGGGGCGGGTAGTGGGGCAGGCGAAAGCGGCGCGCACGCGCGCCGCGCGAGCCCGATGCCCGGCCCCGCGCCCGTGCCCGCGCGCGAGCACACGAAGATGCGCGCGGCGTATGGGTTGGGGTGGGTTGGGTCGTTCGACGTGGACCCTCTTGAGTACGTTTCTCTTTCACTTCCGTCATCGTGCTCTTTCACTTCCGTCCTCGTGCTCTTTCACTTCTGTCACTGTTCATTGGGGATAAGACGTTGATTATATCGTGTTTTGTGCAGCGCGCAGGACCCCGCGGGAATCCAAATCGCCGTGTTCGACGCGCGGCACGACGGAGTTCGTGAACGGGCGTTGGTGGGGATATGCACGCCCCATTCCTCTCGCCTGTCGATCTTTTCGCTATCTCAATCGCCTTCGCCCCCTCCTTCCTTTCAAAGTCAACCGGCATCGCAACCTGCATCGCAACCGGCATCGCACCCCGCACCGAAAGACGAGAAAGGACAAGACCCCAGGAAGGAAAAGGAGAAGGAGAAGGAGAAGGAGAAAAGAAAAGGCGGCTGGACAGCCGAGCGCCTCCTCGATCTGCGCGCGACGTCGTGCGCCGCGGTGCGGGCTACGCGGGAGGGCGTGTGCGATCTTTTATACACCGTCCCCTCCTCCGCCTCAGGAGTAGCAAGAGAGGGAGGAGAGGGTGGAGGGGGAGGGGAGATGGTGCTGCTCACGCATGGGCTGCATAAAGTTCGGCTGGTGATTGAGGGGGAGCGCGTTCGCATCATACCACCTTCCTCTGTTCCCGAGGGTGGGGAAGAGGATATGGAAGTCGATCACACCAACACTGGCCCCGACATCGACAGCTCAGGAACAACCGGAGCAGGACAGGGAGGCAAGGAAGGAGGCGGGTGGAGGATCGCGTCTTCCGAGCCAAATAGCGCGCACATCACACTCCAACACACAAATGGAACGACGAAGAGCCTCTGTGTGGATTATACGACGCGCGACGTGCTCGTTACGCAGTGTCTCATGGTGCGTCCCCCCATCCCATCACCTCACTACAAGTACACACACTAATCGCACAACGCCACAGGTCCTCGCACTATCCCTCCCCCCATCCCCCTTCTTCACCCTCCACCACTCCTTCCTGCACACCTGGGACGAAGCGCACCGCGCGCCGGAGGGCGCGTTTGGGTGTTTTGAGGCGGCGTTGGGCGGCTTTTTCGGGCTCGGTCTTCCTATGAATCACGAGGGAGATGGGGATAGGGAAGAGAGGGATGGAGATGGAGATGGGGAGGGAGAGAGTGTGTGGGAGAGGCTGGGGAGGACGAGCGCGAGTGGGCGGTTCAAAGCCGACGGCGTCCTCCGCGGTCTATCCCTCCCTCAAACACCTCAACCTCAACCTCAACAACCCCGCCCATCTCACCCTCGCACCTCACCCCCAGCCTCTCGCCTCCCCCTCCGCGCACCCACCCTCTCCGCCCTACACCACCTCGCCGAAGACCTGCGCATCCTCACCACGCGCGCGCCCGACCTCTCCCGGCTCGTCCCTTTACTCGTCAGGCTCGCGAGAGGGGTGCGGCCCGAGTGGGGCGAGTATTGGGTGCGGCTGGTGCCCGGCGCCGCAGCTGGGGTATGGGATGAGAGTGGAGGTGGAGAGGGAGAGGGAGAGGGTGGGGGAGGGGAAGGGGATAAGGATGATAGGCTGCCCATCTGGCCGCCCGACATGATGGGGTCTATGCTCGCGCGCCTATCCTCCCCACCCACCTCCACCTCTTCGTCCACCTCTACCACCACCTCCACATCCCAACCCACACTCCCACCCTCAGGCCCGCCCTCCTCCTCGGCCGCCCGCGGGAAATGGTACGACGCCTCGCGGCTCTCTTTCCCCTTCGGCAATGGAAGCGGTGGAGGTGGGGAGGTGCCGAGTTTCGCGTTTGGACGGGTCGAGCCGCTCGGCGCGTTAAGGGCTGTTAGCGTCGTGTTTCGGGCTTTGTGCGATGGTCCCGCGTCTTCTTCTTCGGCGGCGGCGGGGAATGGGACGAGTGTACCGCCATCAACGAGCGCATCCTCATCATTCGACTCCGATCCCGACCCCGACGACCCCGACGATAGCCTTATCAATAACGCAACTGGAGGCAATGGAGGGAGTGCAGGGGCGGGCGACGAGAACGTCCGCGCGGCGCACGCCGCGATCAGGGTGCTCGTAAGGATGCGATTAGGTGCTGAGTTTGTCGAGAGGTTGCGGGTGCCGCTGGCTGTTGTGGTACGGGAGGCTGCGAGGACGTAAGTATCTCCTCTCCTTCTCTCCTTCCCCATCCCTCTCCTCCTCCTCTCCCTTTCCCCTCCACCTCTCATCTGAACTGCGAATTAGAGCGCTAACGCTCACATCGGCAGATGCCAACTCTCCCCGCCGCCCGACTGGCCCGCCTCCGCATACGACTTCGTCGGCCGGCGCGACCTCGCCGAGGGCGCTCGTCGGAGCGGGTACGATGAGGACGGGGATGGAGATGGAGATGGGATGGACGGGGGCGGGGAGGGCGCGGGGTATCGGGGTGTTAAGGAGTTTTTGGTGCGTCTCTTCCCTCACTTCCCCATCTTTCTCTCATCACACCCTCCACTCCCCACCTTCCACATTCGCCTCATATGATACACGGAAGAGAGCTGATGAAGACGCACAGGGCTCCCCGCACAGACCAACAATCTCATCCCTCATATCCTCCGCCAACGCGCTCGCGACGGACGAAGTGGCGGCGGGCACGGGCGTCGAGCTCGGGCCCGGGATGGACGATTTCGCGGGGATCCGGTTCGGGCAGGATAAGCGGTGCGTTGTACCCTTCCTCCTGCTCTTAGATAAGGAAGAGAGGAGAAGGAAGAGACGTGTGCTGATGCGACGTGTGTAGGCTGGAAGAGGTCGCGCGGATGCTGATGTCGAGCGAGGTATGTACGGTTAAGATGGCTGAGCGGCCGGACTTGAGGTGCGCCTTTCCTTGTGCCATGTAAGAGGAGAGGTGCTGATGAGGATATGGTACAGCGAGATGGACACGGCTAAAGAACAACAAGCCACAGTCCTGCGCATCGCGGAGCGGACGCTGGCTTTACCGCTCGGACGCGCGATGTTCACTTTCGGGACTGTTCCTGCTGTCAGCCGCGAGGTGCGTCTTCCGTGGCGATCGAGAAAGTAGAGTGTGTGCTAATTGGAATGATGTTGACAGGCGTACTCGATTCCGAAGCTCGAGTTCGGTGTGCAACTCGTGCCACCCGGTCTCACGCTCTCGCCCGAAGCCGGGAAGTTACCTCCGGAGAGCACATCCTGGGGTACGCTCATCTTCCTCCCTTCCCCCCCCTCCCCACACCATCCATACTGACCCGACCATGAAGGAGAGTTCCACAACGGCGTAGCCGCCGCCCTCCGCCTCGCCCCGCGCACGCGCGCCGTCGACTCCTCCTGGATCAAATTCAACCGCCCTTCAGAACTCACCCCGTCACACGCCGGCTTCCTCTACGGCCTCGGCCTCACCGCGCACCTCCGCGGCCTCCTCACCTGGCACACCTTCGCCTACCTCACGCCCAAGCACGAGCTCACCTCCATCGGCGTCCTCCTCGGCCTCAGCGCCGCGCACGCCGGCACGGGCGACCGGCACGTCACGAAGCTGCTCGCCGTGCACACGCCCGCTTTACTCCCGACGCCGACGACGGATCTGAACGTGCCCGTCGCGACGCAGGCCGCGGGGCTCGTGGGCATCGGGCTGCTGTACATCGGCGCGCGGCACCGGCGCATGGCGGACGTGTGCCTGCGCCAGATCACGCGGGCGGGCGCGGACGACGACGCGTACACGATGTCCGCCGCTTTGGCGTTCGGGATGGTCATGCTCGGCCGCGGCAGCGTCCCCCCGGGGCCGGCGGACGCCGCGCTGGTCGAGGAGCTGCGGGCGAGCGGGTCGGCGCCGGCGGCGAGCATCGCGCTCGGGCTGATGTACCTCCGGACGAACTGCGCCGAGATCGCGGATGCGCTGGATATACCGTCCACCGTGCTCGCGCTGAACCGGATTCAGCCGTCGCTCTTACTCCTCCGCACGCTCGCGCGCGGGCTGATTATGTGGGACAGTATCTCCCCCACTCAAGAATGGCTCAGGGCGCAGGTTCCGCAGGCGATTTTGGACGCTGTTGATGGATCGGGGAGGGGTGCGGGTGCAGAGGGGATCGGCGCGATGGAGGAGCAGATGGAGGTGGACGACGCGCTCGAGCTGGCGTATTATAATATCGTGCCCGCTGCGTGTTTCGTTGTGGGGCTCAAGTATGCGGGGACGGCGCGGGAGGAGCCGTACGGGCTTTTGGTGCATTATTATGATGTGTTCAGCCGGTTGGCGTACACGAACGGTATGCTCCTCTTACTATTGAATGTGGGATTTGTACTGATACAGATGCTTTGCAGGACCCGCCTACGACCAAAAAGTCAAGCGCCACGCGATCCGCGACGGCCTCAACCTCATCTCCGTCGCCCTCGCGATGGTCATGGCCGGCACCGGCGAGATCAACGTCCTCCGGCGCCTGCGCTACGCCTACGGCCTGCACAACCAGTTCGTGCGCTACGGCGCGCACGTCGCGACGCACCAGTCGCTCGGCCTGCTCTTCCTCGGCGGCGGGCGCGCGACGCTCGGCTCGTCCGACGCAGCAGTGGCGTGCATGCTCGCGGCCTTCTTCCCGCGCGCCGCGCAGAGCTCCGCGGACAACAAGAGCTACCTGCAGGCGCTGCGCCACCTGTGGGTGCTCGCCGTCGAGCCGCGCTGCCTCGTCGCGCGCGACGTCGACACGCGCGAGATCGTCTACCTCCCCGTCAAGATAAAGGTGCGCGACGGGCCGGGCGCGGCGGCCGCGCAGCTCGTGAGCCCGAGCCTGGTGCCGGACCTCGACCGCCTGCTGAGCGTGCGCGTCGACACGCCGCGCTACTGGCCCTTCTACCTCGACCTCGCGCGCGTCCCGCGGCACCGCGCCGCGCTGCTCCGCACGCAGACCGTCTTCGTCAAGCGCCGCACCGCGTTCCTGTCCTACCGCGAGGACCCCAAGGGCAGCCGCAGCCTCTTCGTGCGCTCGGGCTCGTCCACGGGCGACGCGGCCACGCTCGACTTTCCCCGCTTAGGCGCCGCGCCGCACGCGGGCGACCTCGCGCAGTTTATAGGGAGCTTCGCGAACGAGCCCGTGTTCCTGGCGTTCGCGGACCACCTGTGCAGAGCGGGCGACGCGCGCGGCGCCACGGGAGCCGAAAAACTCCTGGGCGCGTACGCGCACGCCGCGCTGCTCGACGCCATATTACAAGACAAACCCCAAGCATTACAGCTGCACGCTTTGCTCTTCCGCGCGCGGAACGCTCATCCGGGAGGAGAGCACTTCAATCAGGATATGCAGGACCTGCGGCTCGCGGCGGAGTTTTACACGCGCACGTTTGTGCGGAGGTTCGGGGCGCGCGCGCCGCTTGTGCGCGCTGCGACGCTGCACGGTGCGCTGGCCGCGCTCGACGCCGCGCTCGCGCCTCTCCGCTCCACACCGGCATTCACAACCGCGCTATCGCGCTACGCGCGCGGCGACGCGAGCGGCAGCGCCACGCTTGGCTGGTACCTTCTCCGGCACAACGTCCCCGCATCGGCCTTGCTCGGTGTGCTGCGCGAGCTCGCGCGGCACGCGGCGAGTGATTGTCGCGCGCGGGGGCCGCCGGAGGGCGCGGGGGCTGGGAGGGAGGAGGCGTTGGATCGGGGGATCGCTGCGGTGTTGTATTTGAGTGGGGGGATGATGGCGGGCGGG